CAGTTTATATCCCTTAACTTAAAAATGGGTAAACTACACTTTTGGTCCCTCTCCTTTTAATCCCAACTTAAAAACATCACTAACATTTAACTCTTGGGCCAAACTTAAGCCCAATACCCTCATAAACTGGTCTAAACTAGTTTAGAATATCTAATGGGCTCGACTTATTGATCTCGGGTTGACCCAAACTACTGACCCGAAATTCAGGGTATTACACCTCGCCAACCATTTTCAGCCACCATCGTCATCGTCGAACGGTCACCTACTCGTCACCACCCACCCATTGATCAATCGTCGTCCTTACCGTCACTCAAAATTCCTAAATCTAAAAATCCCCAAAATCCAAATCCCTAATTCCCAATTTCAATTTCCCAATCCAAACCGTCGCTAACCATCTCCGACCATCATCGTCGTCGTCGAACAATTGGGTTTCGGTCGAAATTGCACGATGGTTCGAATAGTGGCAATGATGTGGCTTATAAACATCGAAATTGGTCAAAATCGACGAAGAACGACGACAATATTCAACGAACCCTTTAACGCTTCTCCACGAAAAACGGTGACATATATTATGGCAAAATGCCAACAGGGTTTTGATCGGGGGTCGATGTTGATGATAGTGACAGTGAGGATCACCTCTGGCCAGCCGACGACTATGGAAGAGGGAAGGGGGATGGAACACAGGGGGTTGTTGTTACTTTTTTTAACAAAAAATATTTTTTATTTTTTTAAAATAAATTCTCAAAATTACCAGAACATGACACGTGTCACTTAACAGGGATTTTTAACGGTGGTTAACTTCCGAGCACTTAAAAATATAACGTTTAAAACATTACACACCTATTTTTAACAAAAAAATTCTTTAAACATTAAAACGATTTTCAAGATATAGTTTGAGCACTTATTTTTCTGTATTGACCCTTCTGTAAACATAGGTTCAAAGTCTCATTCGAGTCAAAACATTGGGCTTGATAATGGGCTGCTTTCTTAAAATTCTAGTAGAATTGGACCTAGTTTTGAAATAGTAATTCTGGCCTGCATTTGTCACTAATTTTTATTTATTTTTTTCCTTCTTGTGTCGAAACAACGACGTCGTTACTTCTTCTTGTTAATCATTTCAACTGAACATTTTGGATAACTATCAGTTTCAGTTTCAATTTCACCATCTGTTAAAATAGACTTGTTAAATTACTTAATTTTTGTCTCTCAAACGGGAAAGAAAACCATATTATAGCATCGTATGTACCGTCGGGTATGGTAATCAAAGTGTCAGACAAAGTTTGACATGCAGTCAATGAGGAGAAAATTAACCAACTTGACAAATATTGAGGTGCCATCATCATGATTCTTTTCTGTCTCAAGAAATGAGAAAATCATGATCTGCTTGCATTATACAACCATAGTTTACTACTCTTGATGTACTTTGAAAATGATCGGTAATCATTTTCTTGCTGTTTGCCCTTGTCTCCTTCTGATCCATCTTGGCCATTAAAACATGTTAATTATTTACTAGGAAGAACTTCACCACATTTATTTTTGATGCAGACGATAATAATCAACTCATCAATACAGAGATACAGACTACGTACTCAAAGACAGTCAAAGCTTTCCATCGTTATGGACATCTCTGCAACAGGGATTCATCTCTTTGACCATTAGTGAAATCATCTGGATATTGCCAAACCCTAGCCAGCTGAATTAATTAACATCAACTATTAGAAAATATATGCTGCTAGATTATTTTACATTATAATTTGCTTTAATTAGAGAGGGAAACTTACAAGAGTAAGGAGTGGACTACAGAAGAAAGCAAAAAGAAATAGCACAGTACTCCTTTTATTTCACGCCATCTGACTTCCACTGACAACCTAGATAACCGAGAGAGAAAGAGATTTGTTTGAAGAATTAATATTTGATTAATAATCCATCATTTTCCTGGGAAAATACCGTTTGTCAACCAAGGGTATTCAAGCCTGAATGCATGCATCCCACACTACCATTTATTCTAACCAACATTCCGGATGGATCTTTCTACTCTTTTTTTTTGCTCTCTTCTTTTTTTCCATCGCCGGCGACCGCTTTGTCTTATATTACGGACAGTTCGATGCTTTTTTTTTTTTGCAATATGTAAATAATAAAGAATAGTATAGTAGAAGATTACTTCTTTCTTGGATGCCGATCAAACTAATGAAATGGATTTCTATAAAGAAGCATTTAAGTAGTAAACAGCAGCAGTAAGGAAATACGTTTGATTAATAAGACGAGAAAATCTGTAATTTAATGCTCGGGACAAAGAAGTTGACAGGAAAGAAATAAGCTCAGCTCACAGTGGCGTCACTCCGTACTCTGCCGGGAAACCCTAGCTAGCTAGTTATTGTTGAAAGAGAAAGGTTATATATTGAAACCCTAATTCCGTTAGACTGCATATCATGATATCCAGATATAAATATAATAAATACAAACATAACGGTTAATTCATATAATAAACAAGAGTTAGCCGGGCCTAGTTAGACCAGAATATTCATGTAAACTGTCATGAAACATAGGAGTGTTAAAAACGAGAGAATCAGAGCCAAAGTCCACCAGCTTCTTTGAGGAGTGGGACTAGTGTGCCATTGATGTGGCAAGCCATCAGTGTTTCAATGCCACCAAGGAACTTCCCACCAACAAACACGGCAGGGACAGGCTGTCGACCATCGGCCACGAGCTGAAAGAGGACTGCTTGGATGTCAGGACCGGCTCCATGGTGATCGAGCTCGATGATGGTGGGACCAACTCCGAGCCCAAAGAGAAGGCGTTTAGCCACGGTGCACATGCAACACCCGCTCATGCTGAACAAAACTACAGCGTTGGTGGAAGCCAGCTGCCTCACTATCTTGTATGGATTGTCGACCACCGTAGTCGTGGCTGGTGCCTCGGTTTCTATCCCTGTGATGCTTGCCATTCGAACCCCAGTTTTCTTCGTCGTCACCTGCATCGTTGAGTTTGATTGCAACAACAAAAGATAATACCAGAACAAGAAGAAAAACTTGATGAAACTTTTAATGGAAAATGAGAGTAAAGAGTTTTTAAAAGCTTAAATAAAGGAAGGGGATGGGAAATAAAGGACCTTTTGTAGGTATATATATTGATTGTGGAAGAGAATAGAGAAACGAAACAATGACAAATTGCTCTGATCACTTTTACGCTGTGTATGTATGCTGTATATAAAATAACTACTGTCTACTATTAAAAAGGTGGCTTTCGGGAAAAAGAAAGTAATTTTCTTTTGAATAAAAGATAAAACATTTTACAATGTCGTGCAAGAACTTTAGTGATAATTTTAATGGAACCAGGGAAGTAAAAGAAAGAAAGTAATACCTAGAGAGATAATCGAAGATGTGAAATGGGAAAACCTGAGAACCCTGAAACTCAGTAGGGCCCGGCAAAATCTGACGAGGAGGGCTTCAGCTCTGCCAATTTCCCCTTTTTTTTTTATCTTGGAAGGTGTGTACGAAGAGCTCCTCTAGTCATCCAACTTTAGAGGCATGCCTTCTTCAACGTGCAGAGACAATTGCCAATATATATATATATTATATAGTTTATGTCTTGTTTTTATTTAATAAAAATGAGAGCCTTTGAGATGTATTCAAAGTAACACCATATTGCAGTCAAACAAAGAAGATCAATATCTAGAATTAGCGTGAATTTGGATGAGGTGGTAGTGGGACCCTTTTATACAAGAAACAGTACCAAAATATCCCAACAGAAAAAGCAATCTCCTTCACGCCAATTTCAGACTCTCCGGCTCCACCAAAACAAACAGGTTTTTTAGGTGTTTTCTTTTTGTTCTCTTTAAACGTGTCTTCTTCTGCCGAGTACGGGAACATGTTTTTTTTTCCTCTTAAATTTTAATGGGACGACGTAAGAAGCGGAGTGTTTTGAACTTTGCAAGGATGAAAAAGGGAAACCGACAGGCCGACAAGGAACGACTGAAACGCCGTCGTAGGTAGGATAGTACGTCGCTTTCTTTATTGTGCAATGGCAGCCGCGGGAGGAGGGGTTGGTCCTTTGCGTACAGTGACGCCGTCAGATTATGCCCTGGCTGGTTTTTTAGCATCATCATCCCTACGGCTCTGATTCGCTACCCCTACCTCTTATCCTGCCTTTGGTATCCCATTTTTCAATTTATTATATAAGTCTAGCTTTACTTTACTTCCAACAACAACAGAAAACTGCATAATATTCTTAATTTAATAATCGTATGCGATAAATAAATTAAATACTATTTTGTTTGTTTTTCAAACTTTGCACAAACAATAAAGATTATGCAGTATGATAGTAACAACCGATGTATCTAAATACATGACTACTTAACTGTGATTTTGTCTTTAAAACCTTCTTAGGCATATATTTTTATATGAATCTGAATATAGTATTATAGTAAAGTTTAGTTCAAAATTTTCACTAGATTAATAAGCATCAAATTTTGATAAATTTAAAATTTGAAGAGCAATGTAGTTAAAAGTACTAAAAATATTATTTTTAAGTGATGTATAATTATTTAATTACTTAAAATTCATTGAAAGTTTTAAACAAATAATTCTAATTTTGAATTATCAAACATACTTAAAATATAATCCTGGAATGGGAGCTGTCCAGCAGATCGTAACTGTGAGATTTCTCAAGTGAGGTTGAGGGGAGTATGGGGTGGGAATTGGTGCAACTGCGAACTGGGTCTCGAATCTCGTTGTGGCTCAGTCCTCGCTAGCCATCTCTTACAGAAGCGATAGGAATATGTTTGGCATTCCTAATATTTGGCAATAAAATAGCCAAGCAGTGTGAAACAAATAATTGGGCATTGCATTGAGCATGAGATTGAATTGGTTTGATAATCAAAGCTGCATTTTTTTTCTCTACAAAATCTCCCTAATCAGTGATGAAACCTCCACACATGTTCTGCACCAAGCTTCTTTATGGCATTTCTATTTATAAACAACTTTATAGGGTTAATTGACAAGTACTTTTCGTTATAATTTTCTTGCGTTTCTACAAAGAGAACTCTTCTGAAGATCTCCTAATCAATCAACCAGGTGAAAACAGCATGAGACCATGAATGCAATTTTGTCTTATCAGATATGTTGCATTCCCATTGGAAATCAGGCAAACATATCTACACATCGTTGCTTGGGATGGTGATAAGTGTTCAGTTTCCATCTAGACTCTACTACAAGAAGAGGGAAAGATTAATCTTGCCTCTTTCTGTATTTTTCTGTTATTGGGACAACATAAAAGCATCTAAATGCTAGGGAAGCTAAAAAAACTCGAACGTTCGGCAGGGGAATTGATCCATGCTTCAGGCAATGTGCCCTGCCAAAGTGAGGATTTTGACATGCTTTTTCTGCCTCAGCTCATGCGGGACTGGGCCAAAAACTCTGGTCCCTATAGGCTGGCCTTGCTTGTCAACAAGAGCAACAGCATTGTCATCAAACTTGACCTCACTCCCGTCACAACGACCTCGCTGCATGGCAGCACGCACGACTACACCATATACCACCTTCCCTTTCTTCACCTTTCCGTTAGGCATGGCCTCCTTTACAGATGCAATTATGGTGTCTCCCAATCTTGCCCCTTTCTTCCCCTTCAACGGTTGTATGCACATCACCTTTTTTGCCCCCGAGTTGTCCACTACTTTGAGAACAGTTCTCATCTGTATAAAAGTCCTTTGTTGCTGCAAATAAAATGAAATGATAATGTTACCTTCGGAAGACAATATCACAAAGGCAATCATCATAGAACCATATGAATATTGTCTGAATTTCGACCATACATTTACAACATCAAACATTGAACAAAATCTGATCACTCTGATATCAAGCTGCAGAGATAGTTATCCTATTCATATAAGCCATTTGGATCCTAACATATGACTCGTAATATAGCTTTCATTAACAATAGGTTCAACTCCTGTGAACATCACTCATTTAAGTAGTTCAGGCCACCATCTCATCGGGTCCATATGCAGGTCTTTCAAAAGTTGACTCAAGGGATTGTACCATCTTTGATGCTTAACTAACAAGATAAAAAATAGGGGAAAGTTCAGCCAAAAATTGATGCTGATTAACACTGCCATCTCCTTTAATCATTTAGGTTAATAAAATATGCATGGCTTGAAATTTTGTCGCATAAAAAATGGCTCATGACCAACCTAGAAGCTTTGGGGAGTTTATCTCAATTTTCCACAGGCTTGTCTATTCCAAGAGGTTTGGGGAGTTTATCTCAATTTTCCAAGGATAACATATAATCTACAATGAACACCAGCATGCACTTCATGTGAATGATTTCACATACTGTAATACAAACTTAAAAGAAACATCATGCTAGAAATCACGCTGACCTGATACAGGAAACTTCCACATGCCATCTCTCTTGATGTGCTTGGTAAATTAGAGAAGTTTTGAAGGCCATCCATCAACGAACGGCCCACTGCATATACCGTGGAGTCAAATAAAAGCCATAGAAACAAGATAAGACGCAAAATGAACTATGCACATGGAGAGAGAGGTGTTTAACTCTTATGATACATCAATTGTAGGAGAAACAAAACCGATCCACTTCTGCAGATGGCCAGATAACATGTGTTAAGAAGCTAACAGATGGATCCCAGCACTTATCTAGAAGATGAAAACAAGGAAAACAGCCTGATAGGATAGACACGGCCAGAATTCACAAACAACTCGAAGTAAAATCCCACAGGAAGAGACTTCTTAGTTGTGAAACCAATAATAAGAGGTTCCAAAAGCTCTGCTCATCACATGAAGCATAAGTGGCTTAAAGAATTAGAAAACACAGTGGAAAAAGGTCCAAACATAAAATTGCAGACAAAATCGAAAATGCTAATGGATCACCAAAGGACTTCCAGATAGACATGACTAGTAACTCACACTACAGAGACTAGCTAAGCTTCAATAAGTCCCACCAAGCCCCATCCTAACCCCTTAAAAAAAGGTTGAAATTCCAGGACTCGATAGTTAAAATCATTCACTTATATTGGCCTAAAATTGCAGCTAACTAAAGGGATTTCTTCTATATATCAACCAAAGGAAAATATTTGCAGGAAAAACTAAAACTTCACGCATATGGATATAGGTTGGATCGGAATGCTTTTAATGCGATTCCTAGAAGTGTTCATAATCTACAAATGCCCATTAACATAAAGAAGGAAAAATAAAAACACTTCGAAAACTAACAAATATCAGTTTCAAGAAAATCAAAATGGCATACCCCTATAGCATCTGGAAGCAAAGCTTGCAGCCATCTTCTTCTAAATTCCCCAACCTTCACTAAGCAAAAAGGGAAATGACTGAAAAGAACCCTAGGAACTTGGGAGAAGATAAGGAACCTTTTGGGTTTGGGCTCAAGCTAAAGTAAGCCTAGCCCAACACATTATATACACTTCATATAAAAGTTTTTTCGCCCTATATTTTTGTCTGAACATTCTTTATTTTGTTTAATAAACTGATTCTCTCGAATGAAACCAACCAATGGTTTATATTTTTCTAATACGTGAATTTGATTATTGCCACTATATTTTAGTTTTTCCTTATTTTTTTGTACAATATTTGACATTTTCACGTTTATTTTATGATTTATAATTAGATTTGTAATTATCTCTCCTAATAATATCATATTCAAAATTCGAACATTAAGAATACAATACATTCTATCATTAAACTCAACAATTATTTATTTTTATACTTTTATATATTCTTTTGAAAAAAAAATAACTCAAAACTACTACTTAAAGATTGTTAGAAAAAATGGGGGAAGCTTGCAAACTATATATACAAAGTTAAACAATGATAGTATTGATACGAAATATAACATACAGAAATGAACAAGTGATTGGTCATGAAGAAAAGCCTATATTAATCTCAGCTTCAACTCCCCACGCCATCTATCGTTATACATGCATGCATTTTAAACAAATAAATTGGGGAAATAATGATTTTATATATATGTGTATATATATATATATATATATAAATATAAAAGTGGGTATGCAGAACACTTTTGGAGTAAAAGCAAAGACCTAAGAAACTATAGGCATAGCTCTTTGACTCTAACTCTTAATTTAGATTCTTAAGCTACAACCCTACAAGTATGTTGGGTGACTGAGTTTTCTCTATCCCATACTAGGGAAACATATGTATTTTAACGTTTGCTAGCTCCTTTCTTAAACTATAACACTTCCTTATATTCTTGTTTTGAAATAGATACACTAAAATAACCAACTTTACATTGATTTGGACTAATTTTTTTTAAAATAAAATTAATATTATTACGCTTAAATTTTTTAATCTATTCCAGTCAACTTATGTATATTTAGTTTTAATTAAAATATTAATTTATTGATGAATAAAGTGAGAATTTGTAATTTGTCTTATAAGAACGGGGTAAAGAGTCGTAAAAGATAATTGTAATAAGGGTGACGACGACTCAAATGCATTGGATTTATGAAGAGACCTTGTGAGGTCTGAAAAAAAAGAGAGAAGAATAAACCCTCTTTGTTGGAGATGATAGTAAATTACTCTTCTATCTTTTGAGTCATGCCTAAGAGAAGGGTTGAGTTTATATTAATTCAAGTATGATCTTTAATAATAAATTCGATCTTAATACGAGTTTAATTTTTTTTTATATTCATCATAAATTCTGATCTTATAAATATCCACGTGAAATCATGATTTCATCTTATGGAGGGTTGAAAAAACTGTAAAAAAAATAATCATAATTATCCATGTAATTATGTTTTTCGTGTATCGTTTTCAGTTGATATATGGAGTAGTATTTTGAGAATTGTTAGAACTTTATTTTTAGTGATTTTAAAATTCTAAAAAAAATTAACCTAGGAATATTGGAGAGGGTAAGGTGATTAGGCTTCTTTATAACCAAAAAGTGATTTAACATTAGATTAGGGATGGGCATGGGATCAGAACCCGACGGGTTCCGACCATATCCGACTCGATCGGGTAGAGTTTTTTTAAAAAAATTCTGGTTCGGGTCGGGTCGGTCAGGTTTTTTAAATGTTGTGTTCGGGTCGGGTCGGATTCGGGTGTAGGGTGAAAAATACTCAACCCGACCCGACCCGGTCTGAAAAAAAAATTTTTATCTTATATATTTAAGAATAATTACAATAATACCCATCAATATATATTTTTTCAATTAAATCATTGTTTTTATAGAATAAAACTAATATTTTTTTATTATTTCGGGTCAGGTCGGATAGAGAATATATATTATGCGGGTCGGGTCAGATTTCGGGTGGATGAGTTATTGTTCTCGGGTCTGGTCGGGCGGACCAAAAATCCGACCCAACCCGACCCATGCCCATCCCTACATTGGATATGGAGAACATATCCTGGAGTATGAAATCCAACACCATGGCATGTGCTGGTTCCACAGCGGCCTTTGCATATTTTTTTAATATGGGTTGGTACTGAGTGCAGAAATAATGGAGGCCACGATCTTTGCTAAATGCTTTTACTTGTTGGATTCATTGGAAACAATTATAATAATTACATGCACTTTCAAATTATTGGTGGTGGTGCTCAGATTTGATGGTCTCCAATGGCCATGGTGCTGCTATTTTGGTTGCCAGCCAAGAGACAATACTACTTCTAATAATAATAATAATAATAATAATAATAATAATAATAATAATAACAACAACAACGTTGCCACATAATTGAACAGTGATGTACATTTATAATTTATCCTTTATTATTATGAAAAAGTGGTAATGCAACATAATAATTTGAGACGAAATTAAACTTGAGAAAATAAAATAGAAAAAAATTAAATTTCTTTGAAAATAAAAGAAAATAAATTGAGAGAAATACTCTTTTTATTTTGATCTTGCGATAAAAAACAATTGAGTCATGTCGCTACACGGTTTTCTTAAGACAGATTTTCATCCACTCCTTTGGTACTCCAGATCTTTGGTAGTTTGTCTCCCAAGATACAACAACTCTATGATCAACGAATAGTAGAATAAACTTTCGAGATCACGAATTATTTATTACCTTTGCCTATCGTCGAAAAACTAGAAAATGAGAGAAAGTAATTTTTTAAAAAATAGTTGTTCTTGAATTCTAAGTTATGAAAAAACAAACAGATTAGCTCAGTATTTATAGGTAATTTTCAAGATAGTTTTAGTCCGACCACATATCTTTTAGTTTGAGATATTCAAAATATATAAATTCTTTTTACTATTCAAAATTAAAAAGAAGGCTAAAATTTAGGATTGCAATCTTTTTAGTACTTAACCGACTTGAATCTAAACTACGATTCTTCTCAAGTCTTGTTGAAATAAGATTTCCTTTTTTGTGCCATATGTGCTTAGACTTTAGGTATTATTTTAAGGGTAAAGTATAGTAATGGTCATATTTCTGAAGCTTGAATTTATGTCTAAACTTTTAAAACTTGTAATACAGTCCCCCAACATTTATTATGTTTGCAATATGGTCCCCGCCGTTAAACCACCGTTAGAAAATTAGGGTAAATTATATAAATGATCATTGAACTTTTCAGGCACTTGAATTTAGGTCCCCCAATTTTTAAAACTTGAGTGACTGAACTAGGAGAGATAAGAAAGTTGAGTGATGATATGTGTGGTTTACCCAAAAAAATTAAAAGAATATTAACGGCACCGTATAACATTTGGGACAAGATAAATGGGTTTTAAACTCAAATCAATGACAAGTTGATGAATTTTTTTCCAAAAAACGTAGATTAGGTTTATTTTGGATTTTTTAGGGTTAGGATTATTTTTAAGAGTATTGATTGTTGGTGGATTAAAAATGAGGGAGAAAAGGAGTCGATTGAAGGCTTGTTCAACTATGGTGAACGGTAAGTTTTTCTTTTTGATGTAATTCAAAGTTTCTTTGATGTTTAGATTTAATTTCCTAGGCAAATTTAATGTTCATATGTTTTGACTAATGACATACCTTTAATGTACTTTTTGTTTACTTTAGTTAAAAATGCTTTCTAGTTCTAGCCGGTGATCACCTGTCTGGTGCTCAATTGATAACGCTCCCTTTTGTGTGTGTGTGTTGTGTTGGGGAGGGGGGTAGTGCATAAGATTATGAATTCAGTAGGATCATAAGACAGTCGTTTGTGCAGGCTTTAATGATATACTTATCTATGATCCTGCTTTCCAAAGTAAACACTTCCTTAAGGAGTTTTTTCCCCTTGTTTTTGAGGGCTTTAATGATTTATAGCTTTTTACCTTCTTTCATGTCCCATTCAAACATGTTCCCCATCAAGTAATGGTAATCTGTCATTCATTCATCTTGGTTAACATGAAAATTTTTAGTGAAATTATTTATGATGTTTTGATTGAGTTGTATTCGGTGATTTTTTTTTTATGTTTTGATTGAGTTGTATCATATTAATTGTCCCTCTGCCATCCGCAGCCGGGGATTCGATTTTCTGTGGATGCAAGAGCAACCTTTGTTGTTCTTGTGAGCTTTAATTTCCTACGCAAATACAATATTACCGTTGACAATGTACCTTGTTCAATGGATGTCAATAATGTTGAGCTTTTGATTGTGGTTTACTTAGTTTCTGTAATGTTCTTGCAGTTTTCCGTTGTTTCTTGCTTATTTTCCTTGTTGCTCTATTATTTTCATCAACGATTAAACAAAGCTGCTACATCGTTGTTGTTTCATTAGTTTATGGGGTACTGAAATTTTTTGCATGTTCAAGCTTGTATTTGATTTATAATTTGATGTCGGAGAGTGAGTAAAACTTGATTAGAAAATTTTTATTTTTAAAAAAAATTTAAGTTATTTGACTCGAGTCTCTCGAGCTATTCGGATTTTTATCCGAATTTCGAGGTTAGGTTGATTTTGAAATTATGTATACTATTTACATTTATAAATTATACATACCCCTGCTCGACATTCATACGTAATTTAGTGTTGAGATTATGTATCCTTTTGTATTATAATTATATTTTGGGTATTATATGTTTTTATATAAAATTTGATTAAAAATATTTTATATTTACAAGTTATATGTTTCAAATGAAATTTGAGTTAAAAATAATCTATATTATATAAAATTTTGAAAATTTATAGATTTAAGTTTAACTCTTGGTTAACATGAAATTTTTTATATTTATGATGTTTTGATTGAGTTGTATTCGGTGAATTTTTTTTGATGTTTTGATTGAGTTGTATCATATTAATTGTCCCTCTGCCATCCGCTAACGGAGTCGATTTCTGGAAACCAAATGCCAAAAAATGAGAATCACATGATAATGGAGAGATGAAAACATGGACACAAGATCCACTAAAAAATTCACCTCTTCTCGCATTCATCCACAAGGGGCTCGACTGG